GCTCGTAACCTCAGTACTTAACTTCTCGGCTACAGCTTCTTCCTCTAGAAAACAGAGAAAGTAAAAATGTGTTACTGTCGCGTTACTGTAAGGACAAAAGGAAATGAGGATAAAAGGAAATCCACGTAGGATCTGTCCATAGGATTATTGGCCTCTCTTTGGGATGAAGAAAAATTTAAGCCAAAGGTAATACGTTATCTCTGAGGTTAACTACAACACCAGAGGTTCAGAAGGCACAGACGAACAGGGAAATGCGACAAACATTTCTCAAAGACCCCCCCCCCCCCAGGTGCCACACACTGGGCTGAAGGCCTTATCTGTGTTCTGATTTTACGCTGCAGGTAACATATCTGGAATCAGGCAGCTCAAAGTCAGACAGCTTGCTGGCACGTTAAAGAAACAAAGGAAACGTTCAAGACCAGAAAGCCTGCTGTGTCAGGACGCCTAATTAGAAAGCAACGTCATAGTGAATTAGTAGAGCAAGTCCCCAGCTCTGCCAGAAGACCTAAAATAGATGTGCCAACAGGGGAATCACAGAGCAAAGTCGATTATCATCCTGGTGATTCGGTTGATCCCACAAGCATGACTCAGAGGTTTGACAGAACTGGACACGTGTTCTATCCTAACGCCGCGATAGCACGTATTGCTTCCAGGCACCGTTGCCATATCACCGAGAGAGTCCTCTCAGAGATCTTCATGTCAACTGGACTTATCTAATTTTAATGAGGAAGCACCCAGATAACTGAAACTCCAAAAATAAGACACTTCAATGATGACTAGGTAATAACAGGATGTTGGATTTATATAGGAATTCTTTCTTTCAACTAGATGAGACATTTCACAAAGGAAAACTATAGATTATCTTCAACCGCCATATTGGGACCAGAAATCCATTGTAACAAAGACAGTCATTACTGATATCATTCATTCATTCATTTGTTCATTCATCACTCTCGTATTTTTCCATTCGTTCAGCTAACATGAGTTGAGTGCCATATAGGAATGGGTAGACGTTGGGGTGACATTAAGTGTCAAACAAGAGATGGTACCTTCCTTGAAGGGATGATATCTGTTAGGAGCTAAGCCAGTGGCAAAGAGTGGTAGTTAAGCAAGTATCTGAAACTCAGGATTGGCTAGGATGGGAAATCTGTGCTAAGAAGTGTGACATTTAGGGACTCCTGGGCAGCTCAGTCAGTTATGCATCGGACTCTTGAATTTGGCTCAAGTCATGATCTCACAGTTCATGGGAGAGAGCTCCAAGTTCGGCTCTGCACTGACACTGCAGGGCCTGCTTGGAATTTTCTCTCCTTCTCTCTCTCTCTCTCTCTCTCTCTCTCTCTCTCTGCCCCTCCCCTGCTCACCCAGGCTCTCTCTCTCAAAATAAACTTAAAAAAAAACCAACAACAACAAGTGTGATATTTTTTGTGCAGGTGATAATAGTGCTATCAAAGGATGTTAAGCCTGAGAGTGTTTCCTTATGTGCAAGTGGTGTGCAGGAGGGAGTAGAGGCTAGGAAGCCAGTTAGGAGGTGAGTGCAATCATTCTTCACGGAGTCTACTCTCAAGGCCTCTTGCTGCCTTATCACCATCTCCCCCTCAACCCATGGCATCCAGGCTTTTCCTCCACCTGTTGACTGAAACTATTCTTTCCTGTCATGAATGAACTTCTACTGGCCAAAGCACAAACAGCTCTTAGCCTCTCCATTCCACGTGCATGGTTAGACACTAACTCTTACTGGAACCTTTTCTTGTAAACACAACCTCTTGCTGTTTTATCTCCTATTTCTCTGGAGACCGCTGCTCCGATCCAGACTTTTCATGACCTGCCCATTGAGAAGTCCCAGTGTTCATAAGGCACATATTTAGCCCTATCCTCAATTGAAACTCTCCCCAGGAAATGCCTTGCTTATTTGCAACTTCTACAGCTAAAGTCCTCCTTCCACAGAAAATCTGTGGATAAGGAGAATCTGCGAATGGGGACTCGCTGGGGGAAATTTTTTCACTGCAGTTGGTGTCAGCATTGTATTATGATAATTTCATCTCTGGGACGCCCAGGTGGCTCAGCCAGTTGATCATCTGACTCTTGATTTCAGCTCAGGTCATGATCTCACGATTCCGAGATGGAGTTCTGCACCAGGCTCTGCGCTGACAGCACAGAGCCTGCTTGGGATTCTCTCTCTCTCTCTCTCTCTCTCTCTCTCCCCCCCACCCTCAAAAAATATAGTAAATTCTCTACTTATGTCTCTTGAGATGAAGATTTGGGGTCAGATAAATAATGTCCCCTTTCTCTTTGCCCGTGTTTAGCTGTACTGGGGCGTGTGTCCACCATTGAACTAGTGGATTGAGTGGTGAAGAAAAGACACAGAAAGAGAAGGTCTAATCTTCCAAGTGACTTTTGAAAAACATGATCTCTGGGTGTTTAAAACCATGCCTGATCCTTCAAGACATGCACTGCGCCTCTCTAATCTCCGTCATGAGCTAGAAGGGAGGCTTCATGGAGGTTGGAACTTAACTTTGTTATCTTTGTCTTCTCAGGCCCTACAAAGTGCCTGGCACAGACTAGGGACCCATAAATAGTGAACGAGGAGTTCTATCTGTTCCATGCTTGAGGGGATGCAAGCCATATCCACGTGTTCCTGGTTTGTTGAGGCAGGGGAACCAGCAAGAACGCAAACTTTGGCTAAGCTGCCGAGACCATGTATTAATAGAATTTGGAAGGGGTCAACTTTAGAATGTATTGGCTTCATATCTTATATAAACTTATTACTGCATCCAAAAGACTCACATCTTTGTGGGAGGCCCAGCGTTTGGCAGATACAATCATGAATGAGGTAAGATTTGGGGACACAATCAACCAGGCATGAACTGGCTGAGTGTGAATGCGGAAGCTTAAATCCAGATGACACCTCTCTTTTTTCCAACCCTTCTACCTCAGCACAAATGTCTTCAGTTTTGCAGATCACTTCTCTCGGATTGGATTTTGGTCATGTCTTCTCATGTAGTTGATTTTATTTTAAAACCTCAAAAATGTGTAATAATCTAATAAAGATTTTTTTTCCCTGAAAAAACCTGTGGTTTGCCCTGACTGGTAGGGTCCAGTGCAACTTATGAATTTAAACCCACCGGAAAGCACTGTGAATGTAGTTTATTCCTTTCAAACTATTGCCCTGTCGGTTTACTAAACATGTTGCCTTGATTTCTGTGCTTATTCCCTTCCTGGTGAGGGCCAGCCTGAAATGTGCAGGGCCATCTGCCTGATTCCAGGCCCACGGAGCATTCACAGCCTGTCAACTCGTGCAGGACTTTCAGACGAATATAAGTAAGACTGGGTCTTGTCCCTATGGTGAGCTTGCGTCAACCTTTCATTCTATGAATTGAACCCCAGTTTTGGGTTTTGCTGCTTATACTCAGAATAGAGGCTCACTAACTGGTCCTTATAATGAACCAGCATCTTATCCTGCCTCAGAGTTGGAGTCAGTTAAGTGTGGTTTCTTGAATATATACAGAGTTTTCTATTTTTGTCAAAGAGGGTGCCAAATGGAGCAATGTTTTATGTCCTTTGTTTAAAATATGTGCTGATTTATGGCCTCTTTTTGATCCTTGCAAAAAAAAAAAAAAAAAAGCCTGCATTCCGCCTACTCAGCTGTCCCTGCTGTTGCGAACGGGGGAGAGTGCCCTCCTATGCACTGGTGATTTCTGATGATGGTCAGGGACCAGGTGTAGAGCTTTTCCTTCTCTACCTCCAGATCGAATGGCTTAGAATCAATTACTGCTAAGCCCAAATCATTTTTGGCACTTGCTCTTAAAAATGTAATTTATCCATTGACAGCTCCAGATAGCAGGTGAGCTCATTCAATTCTTAGAGGTTCATTTCACAACCAATTTTTCCTAGAAGGTTCAAAGAACTAGCGCTGTTTGAAATGGGATGTGTCACAGATACGTTATTGGGCTTTTTTCTCTAGAGGAAGTAAATGTTTGCTCACTGGTATTCTGGATCTTTCTTCATGGTGAAAAACAAGAGGTTCTTTCTGTGTGTGCGTGTGCGTGTGTGTGTGTGCGCGCGCACGCGCGCATGTTTATTAGTTAGAAAAGTCTTGGAACTATTTTGTAAAGAGACCTTGCCCTGCCCATATGATATGCTTGCTTCCATCTTTCTTTTTCTTCCTCTATCAAATATTTTTAATACTCATATGTATCAGGCACGGCGCCAGGCATGAAAATAACAATGGTGAACAAAATTGGCACTGTTTCCTTCCCCTCATTAATCTTCCTCATATTGGAGTAAGAGTCTTGGGTTTTCCTCCTTAATGTTTATCAGAATATTCAAGCCTTGTTTTGTGCTTGGTTGGTTTTGAAATCACTTGAATCTGCCTTGTGAGATGTCGAATCCATGTCCAACCTCATTCCATAGAATTCTGCTGCTCCGAAGGGAATTTCAAATCTACACCTCTGTTTCCTTTAGACCTCAGTGATTTCTAAACCTTCTTTAAAATAGAGGAAACTTTTTCATAAGCAAATTAATTGTGGAACCAAATATGTTAGACTATTTTGAAGCTCCTCTATTTCTATCTAAAGTAAGGTGGGATGTTAACTGCCTCCGGGTCTCTCCTACTTTTCCTAGAGCCCTGAGAGGACCTTGCTAAACCGAACTGGGAAAACCGATATCTCATGGCTGGTTGGTTTACCTTGTGACCTTGCTCTGGAGCTCCGCCTCCGGGAGTCAGCCTCTGGGCTGTGTGATCATCCCTGGCTGTGAATCGGTCCGGCCCTCAAGCTTATCCTGGTTGTTTTTTGCATATATTTGAAAATGGGCTGTCTACCTTTGTCAGATTCGATGGGCACACATACATCCTCATCTCCATCTGGCGCTCTGTATCACATTCCAGGTTACTGCACAGTGATGGAAACTAGGGCTCAGATCTGAACGGAGAGGCAGGCAGGGTGCACTATGGGGAATAGGCCTTCCACCTCATACGGTGCTGACTTTCTTTTTCTTGACAGTGCTTGTGCAGCGAAGCCGTCACCCCACTCAGCATCACTGGCGGGTTCTCACTCTGCAGTCAGGAAAAGGAAAACATCCGATAAGCAGGTCAGGTCTCTGATATTTGCAAAGAGGGTTGCAAAGCGAATGTCTTGGGAACATAGTACAGAAAATAAAAATGATCCAGTGTTTGTATCTCAGAAGAGGGAGAGATGAAGAGAGAGAGGGAGAGTAGGAGAGAGGTTTCTAATTCAGACCTACAGAATAATTTCATCATCTGTTGGAAAGAGTCCCCATGACACAAAATTTTGCAGTTTCTCTACCTTCTCACAACCCCCGCACTGTTTCCACTTCATCGCTAGCAGAGCGTTTCTAGAACTAGAAGGTTTTGAAAAGCTGTTGGTGGAGGAATCGTTTTATATACCACCTCCTGTGCCCCAAATCTTTCCCAGAATTTGGGGGAAAGGAGAGCAAGGCAGTTTTAGTTTTGTGCTTGTTTTTAGAAACATTGTTCTTTTCCAAAATATAAAAGCAATTCACCAGCAGTACCAAATGCTGGTAAGGATACAGATCGTAGGAACTCTAACACACTGCTGGTGGGAATTTATATTCTTGGAATAGCACTTGGAAAAGCACTCTGACATTACCTTTGAAAGGCAGACTTTCCCATACCCTGTGACAAGCTTTGCTGCTCTCAGGTTTACATCCAGGAGAAATTGTCCCACAGGGGCACTGGGAAGACACATACAGGGATGTCTGGAAATAGTCAACAGAATCACCAATAATATCTTCACAAAATGGGATATTGTATAGTCATCAAAATAAATGAGCTCTAGTAGAAGAATCTTAGCAATACGATATTAGGTGGAAAAAGTCCTAGAAGATAACCATGGGCTGCTACCCTCTTCAAAGAGTTAAAGCCACAGTAATAAAAAAATACATGCGTTTTCGGGCTATGAACTGATTAGATACAATTTTTTAAAAAGAAAACAATGGGATGATGGGATTTGAGAAGGTGGTTATTTTGGGTTGAGAAAAATGGTAAATGGGATGAGAGAGGATCTATCCCTAGATGTTAACTTTTGTTTGAATCATGGTTTATGTAACGAGCATGGTGTTTACAAGCACTAATTATAATAAACATATTAATAAATAATGAGTGTGCATGGGCCAATGAGAAGAGTAGCTGCTGAGTTGAAAATTAATCCAATTCAGTGTTTCCTGGCCTCCAAAGGGAAAACTGAAAGCAAAAATTCCATATTCATTGTGAACAATTTAGAACCCAGCAAAGTCTGTGAACAAAAAGTCATCTCTAATAGGATCATTCCAGAAATAATCATTTCTGGAATATTTCCTTCTAGTTATTTTTTTTTTGGTATATTTTGGTATATTTGCTTCTAGCTCTTTTTTCCTAATTCATATTCTTCAACAAAATAATAACTGTGATGCTTAAACAATAATCTTAGTCTTTTTTAAAAAAATTTTTAATGTTTTATTTATTTCTGAGAGACAGACAGACAGACAGACAGACAGACAGCGTGAGCAGGGGAGGGTCAGAGAGAGATGGAGATACAGAATCTGAAATAGGCTCCAGGCTCTGAGCTGGCTGTCAGCACAGAGTCCAACACGGGGCTCAAACCCATGAGCTGTGAGATCATGACCTGAGCCGAAGTCAGATGCTCAACCAAATGAGCCACCCAGGCACCCCACGGTAATCTTATTCTTGATACAATATTATGTATATCTTCTCATGTGATAAAAGAATCTCTAAAAATGTTTTTAACAACTCAATAATATTGAATTATGTTTCTGCATCATAGCTTATTTGACAAATCCTTCAGGTGTGTTTATTTTTGTTGTTCCCAACATTTCGTTATTATGAATAAGGCTCCAAAAAGTATTTAGCACATAAGTCTGGGTGCTGTCTTTGATGATTTCCTTGGGATAAAATTTTAAGAGTAGAATCACAGTGTGAAAAATTTTGAGTTATTGTCACATGTTGATATATTGGAGGGCACTATTTTTATGAGAAATAAACTGAATAAGATAGTGCACATAAATGTGTCTAATATATACATGATTGGCATCTAATTGATATCAGTTGAATATGAAACTGCATATAATTACAAGCTTAGAATACCTCAGAAGAGGATAAAGAACTATCTTTCTCATCTGCAAGGCTATGAAAATTCAATGACTCAGGAGCGCCTGGGTGGCTCCGTTGGTTAAGTGTCTGACTTCGGCTCAGGTCATGGTCTCATCGTTCGTGGGTTCAAGCCCCATGTCGGGCTCTGTGCTGACAGTTAGCTCAGAGGCTAGAGCCTGCTTCAGATTCTGTGTCTTTCTCTCTCTCTGACCCTCCCCTGTTCACGCTGTCTCTCTCTCTCTCTCAGAAATAAAAAACCATTAAAAAATAATTTAAAAAAAAGAAAATTCAATGACTCAGTATTGTTTCTTAACTTTTAGTGAAATACAGGTGCATGCCACTGGAGTGATTCTTTTTGTTGCATGAATGATAATAAATATAACTTAATATACCATGTTATTCTTTCTTTTTTAAAAATATTTTTAATGTTTTTATTTATTTCTGAGAGAGAGAGACAAAGAGAGAAAAAGACAGCATGAGCAGGGGAGGGTCAGAGAGAGAGGGAGATACAGAATCTGAAGCAGGCTCCAGCCTCTGAACTGTCAGCACAGAGCCACGAACCATGAGATCATGACCTGAGCCCAAGTCAGATGCTTAACCGACTGAGCCACCCAGACGCCCCCTATGTTATTCTTTCAAAAGTGTTTCCCTATACATTACCTCGTTTGCTTTCCATGAATCTTCTAAGATTTTTGAAATAATTGACAAGTTATTCTAAAATTTATGTGTAAATGCAAAGGACGCAGAATAGCTTAGATAACCTCAACAATAACAAAATTGGAGGACTCACACTACTTGATTTCAATAAAGGAATAAAGAGGAATAAAGAGAAAGTAAAATTTGCATAATTGCCATGAAAACCTACTAAAAAATACAGCTGTACAAATATTGTAAGGCTCATTTCAATGCAACTGATCATTTCTCACCTTGGGACAAGAACAGCTACTGTCATTAAAAAAAAAAAGAAGAAGAAAAAACAACTGAGGCCCTACAGCAGAAGAACAACACTTTCCAAAGTAAAAGTCACATACTACTGGTGTGAAGATGACTTTTCATGTTACACAAATATGATTAATTTTTAATAATCATGTATTTAAAGATTATCCCATGATTAAAGTTACAAAGAACTTTTTTCCATTAAAGACGCTCATATAGAAACTGAAGTTTTAAAAAGCAATAGATTTGTGGACCAATATAGGAATGCTAACACCTCATTACAGATTTAGGTGGACTGACCTGCCCGATAACTGACCAAGCAGGAAAAACCAGGTTTCCCCTTTCGCTCACAGGCTGATTCCTTTTACTACACAGTAAAGACCAGGAAGCAGGCTTTCTGCAGACAAATTGGCTTCCAGTTCACCCATCCGGTAACAAACATATGGAGACGCAAGCCAGGGTGTTTGTTACCTGAGAGAGGACCTTCTCTGCAGAAGCTTGAGGGGTAAGAAACAAGTATGTCCCTCTCAACACACACACACACACACACACAGGACATAGACTGTCAGTGTCCCTGGCCCCAAATGTAGTCACTGTGTCTCTGGAGACTGAATGTAGTGGCTGCCAGATTCCAGGTGATCCTGCCTCAAATTCAAAGCTCCAACTCACAGAATTTAAGCTATGACCTCGCCCCATGGCTGCCAGAGAGGCTGCCAAAGCAAGACTGTATCTAATAGCTTTTGTTTCTGGAGTGTCAATCCCATGGTGGGACCCACTTAATGGAGAAAATGGAGGAAAACCCGTTGGGTAGACAAGCAAAATTCAATGGAGGAGAAAACCAAGTCTCAGAGACGTTAGGTAACTTGCCAGGTCACAGGGCAAGCAACTGGATTTGCATTAAAGATCAGACACTTCCCAAGCAAGTAGTGGGAATAGGAGGCTTCAGGAAGGAATTTTGATTCTTATATGTGACAGTGAAAAATTTGGGGGTGGGAGGGAAGAAACAATTAAAAAGATGCAACCCGAAAGAACTAGAGAAAAATGATGTGCCAGCCTGAATCTATAAGGCTCTGTGTGGCCCAAGGCCTATGAGGGAGATACTTTCCCTACTTTTTCCAGATAGATGTGCTGTGCAATGTGCTTTTTTCACATTGTGAAAGATGTGATGTGAGAATTCCCAGGAACGTGGCTTTGTGTTTTCGTCCTTGTAAAGTCAGCACTTTATTGGAATAATTGCCTTTTTCTCTTTCTTTCTTTCTTTCTTTCTTTCTTTCTTTCTTTCTTTCTTTCTTTCTTTCTTTCTTTCTTTCTTTCTTTCTTTTCTTTCTTTCTTTCCTTCTTTTGTTCTTTCTTTCCTTCTTTCTTTCTTCCTTCCTTCCTTTCTTCCTTCCTTTCTTTCTTCTTTTTCCTTCCTTCCTCCCTCCCTTCCTTCCTTCCTTCCTTTCTTCCTTCTTCTTCCCTTTCTTTCTTCCCTCTTTCCTTTCCTTCTTTTCCTTTCTTTCCTAAATCCCTTCCACCACTGTTCCAATACAGCTCTTTGACAATTAGGGGCCCATTCTCTGTGTCTGTGCCGAGACCAGCACTCTGTAGCCCAGAACCCCAGCAGTGGGCTACCATCCTCTCTCTCCACAGCACCGTTCTGGGAGCTGGGGGTCCTCTCGTGTAATAGCTCCCATGGCTGTTCCTGGCTCAGTGCTGCCAGCGTTATTCAGAGGCCTCCTTAGGGACTGTGTTGAAGAGCTAGTGAGCACCCCCGCCTGGTGGGCCTGCCCCTGGGAGCTCTTGCGGGTAATAACACGTCCCCAGGGCAGGCCCTGCTCCCTTGTATCTACTTTGTTTCTTTCTGAGATTTAATTTATTACAATGGTCTCCTGTTGCACAAAACCTATAAAAAAAAATAATCCAGGCCACTCCTTTGTTTCTTCCCCAAATACGGCTTTTGAAATCTTCTATTGTTTCAAAGGATCTTTTCTGCTGTCTTTTGAGAGAATGAGATGATTAGGTCTGTTTCTTCTGGTGGGGTACTCTCCCCACATCTCCGCCCGGACCCACCAGAAGTCCAAGGACATATCACACGGCCAAAGCTCCTACTAGTGATAACATAGAACTGATTAATATGGCTAGAATTTATAGTTGAAGCTCAAGGACAGCAATCTCTGGGGAGGGGAGGGGAGGGCAGTGGTGGACAGGAGGAGACTTAAAAGCACATTTGCATAGCACTTTGCACAATAGCTAACAATAGGTTCTACTGTTAATATTACATTACAGATGAGGAAACTGAGAGGCCCAGGTCAAGGTCACACAGAGTAAGGGGTAGAGCTAGGATTCTAATCTCAGCAGTCTGGCTCAGAATCTTCAGATTTTCCACATTGAGAAAATCTTCCCTCCCCCAGCTCCCCTTGTTGCCACAACTGGAACCCTCCAAGAGAATTCTCTCTCTTCAGTATCTCCCTACCATCCTGCCTGATTTAGCCAGAGTGTGTTTCTTTGCATTAAGATCCCAACTACTAGGCTTCAGCTTTCTCATCAGTAAAATGGGGAACAAAAATGGTGCCTGTTTCATATGGGCTCATAAGTTCTATGCATATAGTAAACATCCAATATGTGGTCATTATTACTATCAGCTATTAGAGAATTTTACAGAGATTTAGAAACTGCTGGCTAACCATGAGCCATCTCTAGATGTTCAGGAGTCTGGAATTTTCCATTATTGCTTTACCAGTACCAATACAAACAGGTTGTTTATCCTTGCCATTCTTTTTCTTTTTTAATGTTTTATTTATTTCTGAGAGAGAGAGAGAGAGACAGCATGAACAGGGAAGGTCAGAGAGAGAGGGAGACACAGAATCTGAAGCAGGCTCCAGGCTCTGAGCTGGCGGTCAGCACAGAGCCCGACACGGGGCTCAAACCCACGAACCGTGAGATCATGACCTGAGCCGAAGTCAGACGCTTAACCGACTGAGCCACCCAGGCACCCCTATCCTTGCCATTCTGTATCTTACCCAGAAGAAGTTCAAAGTTAGAAATTTCAGTTCGGTGATTTGGGTCTAAAGAGAACCATTTCTGCCAACACCACAAAGAAAGCTTGAGAAGCCTGGGGTTTAAGACCTACAAGAGGGCCCACCAGGCAGCAAGATTTGGATCTTGGTCTCCCCATCTGAGCTTTGCCCACACACATTAATTCAGATGAATAACAGAACAAAAGAAGTACACAGTGTATTCTTTCATTAATGGGTTTATTCATCAGGAAAGGAAGAGAAGAATACATGCTGCCAATGAGAATACCCAGTTTTCTGGGAATTAAAAGACTTTTTTTTGCTTGAACGTGCTTAAAGTTTAAATAACGAACAATAAATTATCTAAGTCGGTAGTTTTTCAACTGTGTTCAGTGGAGCCCTCGAGTTTCACAAAGGCACGTCAGGGGCACCTCTGAAGTTAGTAATGATCTCACTGGCTGAATGTTAACTTGCAAAGGAATGAAGGTCCTGAGGCTGTGAAGCATGGAGAATGGCTTTGAAAAAGTTGCACCAGAACTAAAGACTTAGTCAATCCTGGATGTGGGTGACCTTAGTCAGGTCACTTCCCACCTCTGGTTTCAGTGTTCTGTCCAATGAGGAGAATCCGTGATGTAATAGAAACAGAATTCTTTTGGCTCTAAAACTCTGAGCTCACTACATGAGTTATGTTCCCTGCAAGGTCTGCTTCCAACAGACAATAAATATTCTAATATTCCAATAAATATTTTAGGATTTTCTTCATACAGCTGTCTTCAAAGCTGGTACCTCATTTTTTGGACACACCTCCGTGACTGCAAATCATGGCTCTTTCGTTTGTCCATTTGTTCACAACCAGGTATTTCCTTCAATTCCTCCAGAAAAGGTTAGTGAGTGCCCTTCAAGAGCCCGGTACTGGTATAGGGGAGGAAAAGATGAGTACGCTAAACTTTCCCATTTTCTCCAGGGGCTCCCAGTCCCGTAATGAGCCGGTAAACCCACTCTTGCAGTTTTCTTGTATGGCTTATAGAGGTCTCCTAAGTCTGGCCATTCTGACTGGAGATGATAATATATTTCGGCCAAAGCTCTGAGAAACTGGTAGTTGCCTTGGAAAGAGGGACACCTACCTCCCCGTCTTTTGAAGGGTTTCCAATAAAGTAAATATTTTCTGGCCCAGAGACCATAGGCTTGAATCTGAAAGCAGTCCATTCTCCTATTCCTACCCCTTTGGTAAATGCAAAGTACCTTCAATTCCCAGATCCCTTTGGTGGCTAGCTGGTTAGCAGTATAACATTGTAAAGATCTCTGATTCAGCCTTGTTTAGCAGCCATAATAACACTTGGTTCAAATGGATCACTGTGCATCGTTAGGAAAGGCACCCTGTGTAGTAATCCGATTTAGATTAATCTAGACTTGGGGCACCTGGGTGGTTCAGCTGGTTAAGCGTCTGACTTCAGCTCAGGTCATGATCTCAGAGTTTGTAAGTTTGAGCCCCGTGTCAGGCTCCGTGCTGACAGCGTGGAGCCTGGAGCCTACTTCAGATCCTGTGTCTCCCTCTCTCTCTGCCCCTCCCCTGTTGTGCTCTCTCTCAAAACTAAACATTAAACATTTTGGATTAATCCAGACTCAAATCCCATATCCATCTAACTGGCTTTGTGCCACTCCACTTTGCTGAATCTTATTTTTCCTGATCTAAAAATGAAAATACATACATTTTATTAGGTTGTTAGATGGATAAGGACTCACCAATATAGCATGCCCAGTGTATGTTTATGTCTAGTGAGGATTCAAAAAGTGGCAGCTCTTTTTATTATCAGGTCTATGAAGAGGGCATTAGTCATCATACTGCCTATGAATGGAGAGCTGACCGGATGAGTCCTCTTAGATTATTGTGGGAACTTGAAGAAATCACTATAGGCTGAGCAGCGGCTTACAGATGTATCCTGGGTGGGAGTCAGGGAACCCCTAGAAGGAAGAAGTTGGGGTGTGAAGCTGTCAGCAGTCTGGCCATACCAGTTGATGGAGTGGAAATCTGAATGGGGTTCGGGAGAGGAACTTTCATTGTCTCAGGTCAGAGAAGGTGGTGTTGATGGTTGACATTAGAATTGTAGGAAGGTGAATGGATGAGACTTTTTCCCCCCATTGACCTGCCTGATTAAACCAGTCATCTCTATTTGGAAAGCCACATAATCACCATTTGGGAAGTTAAGCCAGAAAATCTCAACCGTTGGAGGAGGCCTTTGGGGCACATAAAAAATCTAGAACTGGAGATTGGTGAATGGTGCCTTGAAAATGGAGGAGCCTAGGTATTTGGAGGTTCAGGATCTGCCAGCTCAGCGAGTACAAACTGGAAGCCTTTGTTATCACCTCTATTTCAACCTGAGCACTGTTTAAGGTGAAATTTCACCTAGTTTTCTGGCTGTTCTCAAATATTGGATGATAGAGCCCCACTGAGCCTACATTCTTACGTGCAAGTTTGCTGGCATGAATGCTTTGGGGCAGATTCTTCCCC